CTCATGTGGCTCTGGGTGCTGTGGCACCCAGTCTGATGTATACCACCCTGTACCCCGACAATCACCAGTGGGTAGCGCAGCCTAGTCCTACCATGGCTGCCCTATAATCCCAGCATTTGCATGTGCCAGTGGACAGCAGGTGATTCAACCTAGTTCAGCCCAAGTCTCACACATGGACAGGTACCTTGGCTTGACCCAAACATGCCCAGATTCCCCTTTCTGATCCCCCTCATCTCAGCTCCATCAATTACCTGTAAGTATAATAGCCTGGTCTCAGAAGCCCATAAAAATCATTCTACACCTGTCAAACAACCTCTCAGTGGTTCCTATTCCAATATGTCCTCAGACAGGCTTCCCCAGGCAATCTGCTGCATCCCTTTCCCACTTATGCTGGGCGTCTCAGCAGGATCCGGAATGGAGAACTATGTTCACCTTAAAAAGTGCCAAATATATTTTAGTAGGTGTGTAGAAAATGACTTAGCACATAGGAGATATTTCCACCAACCCTCTCACCCGTAACTTTGTCTTGTAAATAAATAAAATAAATCTGCAAACATCTATTTATTGGATAAAGAGTGAAAGCCTTGTGCTGAAGCAATAGAGCAGTAATATAGCATCATCTCCCATGTGGGGATTGTAGACCAAGTCATTGAGCCAGCACCTCCAGGCTCTGTGGCCTCCAGAGCAGCTGGGTCGAGTCAGGCATCAGAGCCATCAGTCTGGCATGGGGTGTGGGTGTGTTGTCATGAGGCCAAAGGCCTGCCCTGGGAGAACTTTTGCTTGTTGCCAAGTGTTGGCAGCTCTTGCTCTGAGGGAGCCGACCTCTGGCACACGTGGTCAGAGTCGACTCCAGCCCAGGAGCAGTTTCCCTCGCCACCTGGAAGCTGAGTGATGGTGAGGATCCTGAGCTTTGTCTCCTTAGGAGTTGTTGCCAAACTCACAGTACCTGCCCTGTGTTGCCACAGTTCCTAAAGCAGCTCTTTGATGACACCCACCTTGTGGCTCTGTGGGCAAAGGAGAACACAAGGGCCCTTTGTTATTCTTCCGGGTCCTGGTTTGTATTTCCTTCTCAGCTGTGTGTGTTCCCCTTGCAGATGTCATGCTAGGCAATTGCTTTCCACATTAACCTGTCTGCTTAGGACAGTGTTGATGTTGTCCAAAAGGAAGTTTCCTGATTCTTGCTGAGCTGTAGGAAGGCAGCTTTAGGTTCAGAATCTAGTTGTGAATCACTTGAGTGTGATACTTGAGGCATCCAGATAGGTGCAAATCCAGGATTCGCGTTAACCCTACCTCTATAGATATTTTAAGATGGAAGATGGAACCAGCGTGGTGGCCTAGCAGGTAAAGTCCTCACCTTGAACACACCAGGATCCCATAGGGTGCTGGTTCTAATCCCAGCAGTCCCACTTCCCACCCAGCTTCCTGCTTGTAGGCTGGGAAAGCAGTCAAAGCCTTGGGATCCTGCACCCACATGTGAGACCTGGAGGAAGTTCCTGACTTTGGACAGGAGCCGCACTGGCTGTTGCAACCACTTGGGGAATGAATCTTCAGACAGATCTTCCTCTCTGTCTGTCCTTCTCTCTGTATATCTGACTTTTCAATAAAATCTGACTTTTCAAAAATGTGAAAGAGGAATATAGGATGGAAGGAAGGGAGAGAGAAAAAAGAAAAATCATCTGTTTGCTGGCCTACCGCAAAATGGCCACAATCAGCTGGGTTGGAGTAGGCCAAGGCCATAACCCTGGAACTCCTTCTGGGTCTTCTATGTGCATAGCAGGGGCCTGCACATTTGAATTGGCATCTGCTGCTTTGCCTGATGTGTTAGTAGGGAGATGGATGAGAAGTCAAATAAGGCAGTGTCACACTGGCTGTCATATGGGATCCCATTGTTGCAAGTGGTGGCTAATGCAGAATACTGCAACACTGGCCCCTCTGATGCAATTACGTAAGTAGGGGATACCAGAACCAGGTTTGAGGTTGCTGTAATCATTTAGGCAGGAAAATTTTATGCACAAGAATTGCAGAGATGAACATAATGGGGAGACACTAAGGAAGTAAGCAGCTCATCTATGATTGACTAGTTGAACATTAAGGATTTAAGCATCAATACAGGTGACCAGAAGGGTCATGAAACAGTAATTGTAATGGGATCAGTGTAGAGTGAACAGTTTTTTCATAGCTACAAGAATTGATAGTGGATGGGATATATCATAATGTATAGAAATAGGTCTTTTATATTTATATAAAGCTAACTGAGACTTTATAGTTTGACTCCATACAGAATGTATAAACATGGTTTATGGCAGGTTGAAAAACAGTGTTGTTTCTAATATGTACACAGTGTCCACTTCTTGACTCTCCTTGTGCTTTAGTCTTCATGTGCTCACAGTAGCCGGGATGTTCATGAGTATCCAGTCCATATCTTCTTTTTTTTTTTTAAGATTTATTTTTATTATGTTTTTATTGGAAAGGCGGATATACATAGAGGAGAGACAGAGAGGAAGATCTTCCGTCCAATGATTCACTCCCCAAGTGAGCGCAAGGGTCGATGTTATGCCAGTCCGAAGCCAGGAGCCTCTTCCGGGTCTCGCACGCGGGTGCAGGGTCCCAAAGCTTTGGGCCGTCCTCGACTGCTCTCCCGGGCCACAGGCAGGGAGCCGGAAGGGAAGCGGGGCTGCCGGGATTAGAACCGGCGCCCATATGGGATCCTGGGCGTGCAAGGCGAGGACCTTAACCAGTTGCTCCACTGCGCCGGGCCCCAGTCCATATCTTCTAAAACAGTAACACTTATTTCTCTTCATCAGAAGCTTATTTGAAGAAATTTACATATGTGATTGTGTGCCGGGTTGTGTCCTAACTGCTCTACTTCTGAGTCTGCTCTCTGCTAAAGGCCTGAGAAAACAATGAAAAAAAAAAAAAAAACTCAGCTATGTGGGTCCCTGCCATCTAGAATGATCTCTGGGTTCCTGGCTTCAGTCTGGCCTATCCCAGGCTCATATGGGGATGAGGCAGTGGCTTAACCTGTGGCACTCCTAAATATATTTTTAAAATTAATAACTTCAGACATAGGGAAATTTTTAGATAGCATGCTGTGGGGTATTTCAGTTTGGCTGATCTTTTAAAAAGTTTGTCTACTAGGGACTGTTAGTTCGAGGGACTGAGCAATAATTCTTTTGTTGTGTTTACCTGAGAGACATAGAGAGACAGAAAGATCTTGAGTCTTCTGAATTCCTTCCCATATGCCCACAACTGCCAGGGTTGGGCTGGGGAAAGAACAAGGAACCAGGAACTCAATCGAGGTCTCCCACATAAATTGCAGGGACCTGCTTGTTGGGCTTGCTGCCTGTAAGGGCCCCCACTAGCAGGAAGCTAGAATTGATAGCCAGAACCAGGAACTCCAACATAGGACATAGTCATCTTAACCTGCATCTTAACCTGTAGGCCAAAGATCCACTCTTCAGTAATAATTCTACTATGTACCTTGCTGTGTAAAGTTTATAGTCTTAATTTGACCTTCAATATGGTAACATGACTTTAATATTGTACCATTACATATATATTCTAGTCTAAAGGTCATTTTAGAGTATGTGTGTTTATATTTATTCCAGATTAGAGCTTGATCATTAATCTAGACTAATGCAACCTAATATCAGTAGTCTTCTCTGATTGGCAATATATTAACATTCAACAACTCTTATTATTGGACTAAGGTCATATAAACTAGAAGGAATATAAACCTTGATCAGTGTTGGAATGAGATGAGTGGTTTGACATTGTCACAACGCTGGGTAAGATAAGGGTTGCCCTTTATTTTTTCCACAAAACATATATGTGAAAGTGGAGAAAGGGGTTTGACATATATTAGGCCTTTAATAATAAACTTTGTCTCATTTGGGTTTGTTTGTATTTAATTGGTACAAAATAGAAAGATGCTTCTTTTAATTTTCTGTTAGCTTCGTTGCTAACCTAGTAGTTCATATACAACCATAGGACTCCTCGGGCAGATTTCTCATTGCTTCTGGGGATTTAGAAAAATGGCACAATGTGGAGATATATATATATATATATATATATAGTGTTTATATATATATATAGTGTGTGTGTTTGTATATATATATATATGTAGCTTGTAATTTGGACTTATAAACATTGTTTCAAATTACTGTCTTCGTAGGTAAATCCTTGTATGTGTTGGTAGTGAAATCTCATAATAGTCTGTTACTTTATTTATTGGGAACTGTGTATCTAAATATTTCTGTGCTTCTTCCATCTTGGATTCTCTAGGAGGTAAGCTCTATTTTTTCAACCATCCATGAAACTGTTTTTAAGCAGGCCTTCAAATATCATAAGATACAAATTAGTCCTCAAAGACAATATGGCTGAATAACAGGAACTTAACCTGAGTTAGGGGAGAGATTTTCAGATAAAATAGGTTTGTCAGTAAATTGTGATTTCCTGAAGATCAGGAATCAAACCTCATGCATGTTTATATCCCCTTCATCTTTTATATGTATAGTAGGTGCTCTGTAAATTCCTGTTAACTGAGAAGATATCCTTTCTTTGTATCATCAGGACTCATTTGCCCTCATGTTAGCCGTTGAATTTAGGTTAAGAATATCCTGGGCCCAACACGGTAGCCTAGCAGCTTAAGTCCTCATGTTCACGTGCCAGGATTCCATATGGGCACTGGTTCTAATCTAGATCCCTGCTTATGGGCTGGGAAAGCAGTCGAGGAAGGCCCAAGGCCTTGGGACCCTGCACCCGCGTGGGAGACCCGGAAGAGCTCCTGGCTCCTGACATCAGATCAATTCACCTCTGGCTGTTGTGGCCACTTGGAGAGTGAATCAACAGACGAAAGATCTTCCTCTCTGTCTCTCCTCTTCTCTGTATATCTGACTTTCCAATAAAAATAAATGAATCTTTTTTTATAAAAATAGCTAAAACCTGTTTTTAAAAAGAATATCTTAGGAAGTTAAAACTGCATTTATTCTCTCTTACAGGTGCAGGAGAAATTGTTGCCATCATGATCGGGAATCTGAAAGGCACCAAAATTCTACAGTCTATCCAAAGTGGCATACAAGTAACAATGGTCATCGAAGTGGGCAAAAAACATGGACCTTGGGTGAATCACTACTCAATTTTCTTTGTTTCCGTATCTTTCTTTATCATTACGGCGGCCACTGTGGGCTACTTTATTTTTTACTCTGCTCGAAGACTACGGAACGCAAGAGCTCAAAGCAGGAAGCAGGTGTGCCATTTTTTGCCCATTTTAAACTTTTTTAATGTTTCAATTGTAGTTTCAGTGTCATTCATTTTAATTTACTTGCTTGACAGTGACCTATGACACATTTTTATTTTTTAATGGTAGTAAATATGTATTATCTTTTTTTATTTACTTTTATGATGCAGTTCCATAGGCTCTGGCATTTTCTCTCCTCATCTGACCTTCCCCTAATGATTTCCCCTATATCATTACAATAGTATAGTCCTTCATAATCAGTCATAAGTACAACATTCTACTATTTAAGTCTATCCTGACATTGCAGATATGAACAATACCAGAGAGTCCAGCATCTTATTGTTAAGACATAGTTAACAGTTTCAGGCCTGGCTCAGTGGCCTAGCAATTAAAGTCCTCGCCTTGAAAGCGCTGGGATCCCATATGCCGGTCCTAATCCTGGCAGCTTCAATTCCCATCCAGCTCCCTGCTTGTGGCCTGGGAAAGCAGTCAAGGACAGCCCGATGCCTTGGGACCCTGCACCCGTGTGGGAGACCTGGAAGAAGTTCCTGGCTCCTGGCTCCAGATCAGCCCAGCACCGGCCGTTGTGGTCACTTGGGGAGTGAATCATCAGACGGAAGATCTTCCTCTCTGTCTCTCCTCCTCTCTGTATTTCTGACTTTCTCCCTCATTGGGAGTCCATCTTTGATACAGAAGTAGGCATGCATATTGCATTGTGCCTTGGACCCGGTTGACAGTGATCTATGTATACATTTTAAAAAGAATATCCACTCCATCTTCTCGACTCTCCCCCCACTGACCCTGCAATTTGTCAAGGAACTTAAGCTTGCCTGATTAAGTCTTCTAACACCTCATTAAAGAGCACAGGCAGCATTTAATTACCAGATGAATATGAATACGTATGTTCTTTTAAATAATCATTTCTGAAATTACAAAAGCACTTCATACCTATTATATAGAAAATTTAGAAATTAGAAGTGCAAAGGAGGTGACCTTCAGCTAAAATGCAGTGTACTGCCCCAAAGGTATCTGCTGTTATTTTTACACGTGTGTTTGCATGTGGGTCTGTGGCTGAGAAGGCAGGTTTAAACACTGAATCATGCATGGTGTAGTGCTGGGCTCCAAACAGAATTTCTACCACACTGTAATACGGATATAGTAAAAGAGACAAGGTATTGAAATCATGGAGTAAAGCTGCCAGAGCATGGTTGAACAAAGAACTGCACGTGTTTGTGTAGTATTAACCCTACTGCCTGTAACCTGTCTATCCTTCCTCCTGATAGCATCACTTTTCTCCTGACTCAGCTAAAATCCCATGGACACCCCCAGGCATACATTTTTCAGTTATACAGTCATCACTTGGTATCTGTTAGGGGTTTGTTCCAGGAACTCCCTCCCTCCCTCCAGGTACCATAATTTGCAAATATTTGAGGTTCTTTTGTAAAATGGTGTATTTGCATAGAACCTGTGTACTCTGTTCACATAGTTTGTCATTCTTTTTTAAAAAAGATTTACTTTTACTAGAAAGTCTGATATACAAAGAGGAGGAGATGCAGAGAGGAAGATCCTCCATCCGTTTAATCACTACCCAAGTGACTACCATGGCTGGAGCTGAGCTGATCCGAAGCCAGGAGCCAGGAGCCTCCTCCGGGTCTCCCACATGCATGCTCGGTCCCAAGGCTTTGGACTATCCTCTACTACCTTCTCAGGCCACAAGCAGGGAGCTGGATGGGAAGTGGGGCCGCCAGGATTAGACCCAGGGCCTATGGGCTACTGCACCGGGCCCTAAGTCATCCTTTAATACTTATTACACCTAATACAATGTGAATGCCATGTAAATAGTTGGTATGCTGTGTTCTGTTAGTAATAAGGGGTTCAGGTGCTTTTTTTTTCTGACTATTTTCAGTCTGAGGTTGTTGAATCCCCAGATGGAACCCATGTATAGAAAAGGCTAGCTCTAGTTGCTAGCAAAAATACAACTCTGATTAAATTGGGCTTTCCTGCAATTCTGTGCCTGTACTTGCATAGCTAAAGTAGCAGGAAGAAATATATATACAGCTGTACTGGCTGATCTCAAATTAATTTTGTGACCACAAACTCAAGAGTTTAATGCTGCCCACTAATCATACTGTTTTCTTAATCATTTACTCTGCTAATGGTTCTTTTGTCCTTGAGCCTCTGGCACCCCAGCCAGCTTTAGTCCCACTTGATATCTTATTCCGCTGATAAAACTGAGGGAACTCAAAAGAGTACTTCAAGTTCTGCAGCTTGGACTTGTGGTTTCTCTGCCTTCTCCTTTTTCTCACTTCCCGTATAATCTTCACCAGCAAGTCCTGTTGCCTTGACCTTCATTATATATTCAACATCCCCGCCACTGCCATTGCTCTTGTCCTGGTCCAAACTACCATCATATCTTACCTTCCCCTCAACACAACAGCGGAATGGTGTGCTGTTTCTTTGGAATGCTCAATATTTTCATTCTTTCAGGTGATTTTCTGTTAGAAGCAACAGAAGACATTTAGATGCCTGGAAGTCATTTCTGAAAAGGCTTTGCATTTCTAGCCACCTCTTGCCCTTTTTCTCCAAAAAGCAAAGAGAAGTGCAGTTTATTGGGGGGGGGGTGAGGAGAATAATGAGGATCATTGAAAATTAATTGAATTTCAAAGTACATGAGAACTTGAATTGTATTATAAAAACTTTATACAGATTATATACTGGCAAATGGAAATAAGTGATGATTATCTAAGTGTATAAAGTTAATTGACTTCTGTCCTTCCCTCAGGGAAGCAGCTTATCACATCAGTGGCAGGTTCAGCCTGTTACTAGCTATGGCCAAAAGAATGTTTAAAATTCCTAGGCTGTACCACTCAGTACCTTCTCACTGTATTAATAGTTGATGTTTCTGTATCATGCTCCTTTTTTTATCTGAGGCTGGATAAAAGTTGGTCTTGAGTATGACTAACTATTCAAAGGTTACAGTTACAACCACAGCTTAGGTTTGTGTATGTGCATGTTTGTGTATGTTCGGTATTTTAAATTCTACAATAAATGTTAACATGACATTACACTACAGAGGCAAGTCATAAGGATTATAAAAGAACTCTGCCTGGGGCCCAGCATGGTAGACTAGTGGCTAAAGTCCTTTCCTTGCATGTACTAAGATCCCATATGGGCGCCAGTTTGTATCCCGGCTGCCACACTTCCCACCCAGCTCCCTGCTTGTGGCCTGGGAAAGCAGTCAAGGATGGTCCAAAGCAGTGGGGTCCTGCACCTGCGTGAGAGACCCAGAAGAAGCTCCTGGCTTAGCTTAGCTCGAGCCATTGTGGCCACTTGGGGAGTGAATCGGTGGACAGAAGATCATTTTGTCTTTCCTTTTCTCTGTAAATTGGCACAGCTGTGTGAAGATGTTTCTGATGGTCTTAGAGCCTGGATTAATTGCTCCTTTGAACCTATTTTCACACCTTGTTGGTTTCTACAAATTTTGGGTTTGCATATGTTGCTCTTATCACAGCTTATATACAAATACTATACTGCTGTACTAGTACCTGAAATTAATTGGGAAACTCATTACATTATCTGCATGTGATACCACTATCAACATGCATGCATTTGTGTTTGATGTGTCTGTATGTATGCATCTGTTCCTGCCTAGATTTGAAAATTGTTTAGGGTCTTTCGTCAAACCATGAGAACTTGACCTCTTGGGTATGAACAGCTGGTCAAGTAAATTCTTGTCAAATGACAGTTTAGTCTTTCTCCTGACTTTCTCACTGAACAAAAGAAAGTTCTTACAATAGGTCTTAGACATTTTAGATATCCATTCACGTTAACTGACCAAAACACCCAACCAAAACATATTTTACCTAATTCAATATAATGTACAAATGAACTGGGTGAAAATAACTTTGTGTTCACTATAATTTTTTAATTGAACATGATAATAAAGAATAAGAATTAGTCCTATTTTCTGTATCAGCTTCAGTGTATTCTCAGAAATAAAAGGGGGAAAAAACTGTAGCTGAGATTCCTCAGTAACCAGAGCCATTGAAATTTTGATTAGAGGAGTGGCATTTAAGCTTCAGCTAAGAAAATGGGCCAACACCAGGCTTCTTTGAATCAGCTTTCAGCTCTACAGCCAAATGTTCTTAGACCAGGTATCTCTTGGAATTGGAGAGGATGTTTACATGTTTCTTTAAAAATATATATGCATACATAGGCCCCCAAGTCACAGTAGGTAGTTAGGATTAGATAATAGCTGACTTTGAGGCTTCTTTTTTTTCTCCTTGGTTTTTTCCTTTATCTTCTTCACCAGGAATGTGAAGCCTTTTGAAAGTGTCTTTGCTATTACACAATGGAGGCAGTGTACTGTGGTGGAGAGAGATCATGGGCTTTAAAAGTCAGATAAGACCTGGGTTTGAATTGAATCATAGCTCTGAAAAAAAAAAAAAAAAGGTCAAGCTTCTGAACGTTAGTTCTCTTGTCTATAAAATTGAAAATGCCTACTTCACAAGGCTGTTAAACAAGATGATACAAGTAAAAAACTCAGGGTTGAACTGATACATGATAGGGGCCCAACAAATGTTCTCTAAACTTTTGTTTTCCAAGATTTAGTGCAATATAGGCTTTTAATAAGTAGGACACTGAAATTTATCTTGCTTGAGAAAATCATAAAAATCTATTTCTATTTTCTAAATTCATAATATGTTCTTAGAGTAACTATTAGTCACTGGGAGAATGTTTGAAGAAAAAATCTAAGGCCTGGTCCTCCAGATATTCATAATCTAGGAGAGTAAGATACAAAGGATATAATTACAGAATATTTACCCAATGTCTGTATACACTCCTCGTTTAACAGGTATCTGGGTTGATTCCACGTCTTTGCTATTGTGGATTGTGCTGCTGTAAATATAGGGTTACAGGTCACTTTCTTATATGCAGATCTCATTTCCTTTGGATATATTCCTAGGAGTGGGATAGTTGGATCATTCAGCAGGTTTATTTTCAGTTCTCTTAGCACTCTCCATACTGACTTCCATAATGGTTGTACTAGCTGACACTTCCACCAACAATGAAGGAGGGTACCTTTCTCTCCACATCAATGCCAGCAGATGTTATTAAAGTTCTGAGTGTAGGCCAATCTCACTGGAGTTCGGTGGAACCTCAATGTGGTTTTTATTTGTGTTTCCATGATAGTTAGGGAATCTGAGCATTTTTTCATATGTCTATTAGCTATTTGAATTTGTTCTTCTGAAAAATGTTTATTTCCTTCACCCATTTCTTCACAAGGTTGTTTGCTTTGCTGTCACTGAGTTTCTGAAGTTCTTTGTAACTCCTGGATATTAGTCTGCTATCTGTTGTATAATGTGCAAAGATTTTCTCCCATTGTGTTGGTTGTTCCTTCACTGTTGTAATTATTTCATTCACAGTACTTGCAACAAAATGGTCCCAACTAGAAACCATTATGCTCATTGAAATAGACCAGTCCCAAAAGAACAAATATCATGTTTTCTGCAATATAGGGCAATCTTCTTGCAAAATACAAGATTGATAATATAGGTAAACATACATATATTTATCTAGAGGGACTGTATAGTAGAGACTGTTATATCGAGAAGTGAAGATATATTGCCGTGTGCATATCTACTCCTGGATCAGAGATGGACTCCCAATGAAACTGTTAAATATATGTTGAGAATAGGATGCTGGATTCTCTATCATTGTCCATGCCTACAATGTCAGGATATAGTTAAATATGATGGACATGTGACTGTTTTTGAAGGACTGCTGTAATAATATAGGATAGTTTGGGGGAAGGGAGTCAGGTAGGGAGGAGAGGAAATCTCAGTCTACAGAACTGTATCATGGAATAATAAAATAAATTTAATTTTTTTTAAATTTAAAAAGTAAGTTTTTAAAGCAGATCCAGGCTCAAAAAATTAGGTAAAAAAAAAAACCCAAATATTACAATTATAGAGTATGATAACACATAGAAACTGTGCTACCAGAACTTACAAGAGCGAATCTTGATATGGTGGCAAGGCTTTGAAAAAGTACACAGTATAATTTGTATAGTGATGTAGATACGTTATTGAGGTCCTTAATTTTTAAAAAAAACAAATGTGACTTTTTGCATGGGTACACAGTATCTTTAAATGGTGAGATACTACAGCAGAGCAACAGTGATGTGGGATGCCAGGATTGCAGGTGGTGCCATAACTTGTAGTGTCACAATACTAGCTGAACTTTAAAAGGTTTTATTTCTTTGGATCATGCAAAACACCTGACACTGTGTTTTCTTCTTAGTAGGTTCTCCATAGAAATCTGTTAAGGAGCTAGACCAGCCTGATGCTAAAAGCTGGGAGTTTCCTCCAGGTCTCCCACATGGGTGCAGGGCCCCAAGGCTTTGGGCCATTTACAGTTTTCCCAGGCCACAAGCAGGGAGCTGGACTGAAAGTGAAGCAGCTGGGACACAAACCAGAAACCATATTTAGCTTGTTGATCCACTGTGCCAGCCCCAATTTTAGTGTTTTATGTAGGGGAATGCATCTTTTGAACTTTTGGCATCACTGTGACACTGAAGTAGTTTGGATATTGATATTTTGTAAGATATTTCCTTTAAAACTCACTATGTGTTTTATACCCAAGTCGCTTACCTTGCATCCACAGTTAAAGAAAACAACTTTTCTTTTCTTTATGAAATTTCAGAAGGGGCTATTGAAAACAGTTAATTTTCCTTTTAAACAAGTTTTTATTCCAAGGATGTGTGATTATACATTGGTTTGTGCTGTGCTGCCAATACTGTAGGATACTTTATAGGCAATTTCTTGCTTGAATCTTCTGGTATCTTGGATTTTGCCCTTAAATATTTTATGTTTCCCTCCCTCCACCTAATGTGAAAACGATGATCTTAATGTAATTTCCACTGTTCTTCTAAGCTTAGATTCAGGCATTACATGTAAAGTTTGGTTTCAATCCTGTGCTTTAAATTAATTTGCATTATGATCTTGGCTATCATTTGGAAAGGTACATTTAACATTCACTCATAATAAACTGATAAGTATTAGCCCTGAGTCTGAAGCATTTAAATTGTATTAAATGAAAAAGCAACTATATAAACTTAATCAAGTGAAAATGCTAGAAAGGTATAACTTTTTTCTCACTGGAACAAGTTTCTGGCTCCTGGCTCCTAGCTTCGGTCTGCCCCAGCCCTGGCCATTGCAGCCATCTGGCAGGTGAACCAGCAAGTGGAAGATCTCTTTGTTCACTATACTGCAGTGCAGGTCCCATGTGTCAGATTTGATGTCAAACTAGTTAATATGAAAATTTTCAGTGTCCTTCCGTTCACTGTCACTCTATTACTTACTTACCTTACAAATAACAAATAGAACGGAAGGCATTTGTGTTCAAAATAAAGTCATCATAAAATTCCCCCTTCTAATTCACAAATCCCCTAAATGAGAGTGTAAAGACCTCTTTCCTGCCTGGAATCTTGGCCACCTGCTTAACTATTTCTGTTAAGCTATCTGCATATTTGATGATCGGGTAACAATCTAAGATATTTTTGCTTTTTTTGTGACAACAAATCGATCGTTTTTTCACTTTTTGGCATTAGGCCAAATACCTGTCACAAAATGTCTTTGGGAGACAGGCATCCAGGAGATCCTGTACTTAGATTGTTCCCTTCCAAAAATGCCTTTGCTATGAATATGTGTAGAGATGTTGAGGGCAGGTTATGTTTGTTGATGAATGGTGCGTTGTTTTTTTTGAATTGAATTAAATATTGAACTGAGTGCCTGTTAATGCCCAGAATTGTGCGGAACAATTAAGTCACGTTATCTCTGTAATTTCCATGGAACCTAGCTGTCAGATGGGGAGCTTATTGGAGTGGGGAGAGAGGGGAAACTATTGTGACATTCTCAGAGTTAACCTCTGGTTCTCAGCACCTTTTTTGGGTTGATTTTTCTGCTAATTTTGTTCATTTTACAGTTCAAAACAAGTTGAGTGTGCATCATCTATACTATACATGTCCATTTTAGATTGCACACAGCATTCACTCAGGTATGAAACCTAGGCCTTGCTTGAGTTTATACATATGTTCACATGTGGTATTCATGTGTGCAGTGAAAGGGAATGATTTATTTGCAGCATCATAGATAATCTGAGGTTAACACTAAATGTCACACCATTTGGGATGGTCTTCCTTTGATCAATTCATTTCACACAGCAGAGGGACAGTCTCTCAAGGATTCCTTCTTGATAATCTTTCTTTGATTCCTCTACACCCCATCTTCACTTCTGATTCAATTAGGAATAATGATATAAACCTTATTTCCCAAAGGAGCCTTGACTTGCCTTTGCAAGGTGAGTCCAGACTCAGCTAGACAAATGTTCAGTTGAGCAAAAAGATGGTACTCTCAGAATCAATCCCCTCTGTAAGCTAATAGTGGTTATGAATAGTATTTATTCTTCCTACTACCAGAAAATCTAGACATTGCCATTATCCTAAGATTATAGATGAATAAATAAGCTCAAACATTAAATGATTTGTCTAAATCTAAATGATATTCCAGTACACTTTCTTCTACTCATCAAGACATGAATTGTAACAGATGCACTTTGTGGTCCTCTGAGCTCAAAAATAGTTTCATGGACCCACTGCGATGGCTCAGGGGCTAAATCCTCACCTTGCATATGCCAGGATCCCCTATGAGCGCTGGTTCATGTCCCAGCTGCTCCACTTCCCATCCAGCTCCCTGCTTGTGGCCTGGGAAAGCAGTAAAAGATGACCCAAAGCCTTGGGACCCTGCGTGCATGTGGAAGACTCAAGAAACTCCAGACTCCTGGCTTTGGACTGGCTCAGCTCTAGCCATTGCGGCCACTTGGGGAGTGATTAGTGAATGAGGGAGGGATCTTTCTGTCTCTCCTTCTCTCTGTAAATCTGCCTTTCCAATAAAAATAAAATAAAATCTTTTTTAAAAAGCTTCATTGCTTTTTTTAAAGATTTATTTTTATTATTTTTTTATTGGAAAGGCGGATATACAGAGAGGAGAGACAGAGAGGAAGATCTTCTGTCCGATGATTGACTCCCCAAGTGAGCACAACGGCCGATGCTATGCCGATCTGGAGCCAGGAGCCTCTTCTGGGTCTCCCACGCTGGTGCAGGGTCCCAAAGCTTTGGGCCATCCTAGACTGCTTTCCCGGGCCACAGGCAGGGAGGGAGCTGGAAGGGAAGTGGGGCTGCCGGGATAGAACCGGTGCCCATATGGGATCCTGGGCGTGCAAGGTGAGGACCTTAACCACTGCGCCACTGTGCCACCGCGCTGGGCCCAAAAGCTTCATTGCTTTAAATACTCATAACACTTGAATCCATTTGGAATAGGGACAGGACACTTGACTTTTACCATTATGATCCCAAGGATGCTGTTTAATAAAGCAGTGAAGCAGAATATGTAGAATGTTTCATTAATTTGAAAAAATCCCGTCTCCTTTTAGGTAAATGGTACATTTATTGTGGCTAATTAAAGTTTAAATTGTGAAGTTGATTTATACATTGATTCCTACCCTATAAATATTTTTAACTCTCTACTATTTTCATTAAGCTTCTTTCAAAAATAGTTTTCCTAATATCTGCATTTTTATATTACAGAGACAATTAAAGGCTGATGCTAAAAAGGCTATTGGAAGGCTTCAATTACGTACGTTGAAACAAGGAGACAAGGTATATTTAAGTCTTTTCAATGTTTTGTTTTGTTTTAAGGCACTGCTACTAAGCCATACAAATTGAATGTTCTTACAAACTGTGGTTTTAATTGGCAGTTATAAACCGTGTTGAATTTTTCTATTTATTGCTGGAGTTATGGTGAATAATGACTCGCAAAGTTGTCTAGGTCCTAATCCCTGCCTGGGACTGTTGACTAATGAGGCAGAAAGGACTACAGATATTATTAGTTAAGGGTCTTAAGTTGGGGGATTATCCTGGATAATTACAGTTTCCTTGTACGAGGAAGGAAAAGGGAGATTTTGCTGCAGAAAAATAGAAGATGTGGAGTGGCCTGAGGAAGAGGCTCTGGGCCCAGAATGCAGACAACCTCTAAAAGCTGGAAAAAGTAAGGAAAGGGATTTTCTCCTAAAGATTCCAGAAGGAACATACTGCCAACACCTTGCTTTTAGACTTCTGATCTTTGGAAGAGTGCTATTTAAAGCTGGTAAGGTATGACAGTTTGCCATGCTAGCAAAAAAACTAGTACAGTGTTCCAGTGTACTTTACTTGAACGTCCATTTTCCAATTTAGTTATACAACTCACTGGAATAAAAATATGCCATTCACACAATAGCACCAGTATCATTAAATACTTAGATAGGGGGCAAGCATTTGGCCTAACAGAAAGGATGCTGGTTAACACACAAGCGTCCCATATTGAGCTATCTGAATTTGAATCCAAGTTCCACTCTCAATAGCAGATTCCTGCTAATGTCCACCCTAAGGAATAGTTGGTGATGGCTCAAGTAGTTGGATCCCTGCTACCCACCTTATATAAAATACATGTGAGATCTACATGCTGAAACCTTCAAAACACTAAAGAAAGAAATCTAAATGAGTAGATTCATGTTCATGTATCAGAAGGCTCACTGTTATGATGTCAGTTCCTCCAAAAACTAAGACTCAAGGTAGCTTCAATAAAAACCCTAAAGAATTTTTTTGGAGCAGTTGGCAGATTTGTTCTAAATTTGTCTGGAAAAGCAGAATTAAAATAAAACAACTTTGATAAGGAAGCAAATCTTTGGATAATTTTTTAGTACTTTATTTGCAGAATTATTTTAAAGCCACAGCAATAAGATAGCATGGTGTTGGAGAATGGTGAACTTTAGGAATACATGGAATCAGGAGTTCAGAAATAGGCCCACATATATATAGTCAATTGCTTTTTGATGCAAGTCCCCTTTCCCAGAGGACTGCCACTTGTTGGCTGTTCTTGAGCAATGATTTACTATATTAAGCAAAAAACAAAAAAGTAAACATAAATAAGTGAACCTCAATCCATTAAATTTAATCTATAAAATTTAGAACTATGAAATTTCCAGAAGAAAATTTTGGAGAAAAATACATTTCATGTCAAATTACACAGGTACTTCCTAGATGTCAAAAACACATCTATGGGGCCCGGCGCGGTGGCACAAGTGGTTAAAGGTCCTCGCCTTGCACGCCCAGGATCCCATATGGGCGCCGCTTCTAATCCCGGAAGCCCCGCTTCCCTTCCAGCTCCCTGCCTGTGGCCTGGGAAAGCAGTCCAGGACGGCCCAAAGCTTTGGGAACCTGCACCCGCTTGGGAGACCCGGAAGAGGCTCCTGGCTTCAGATCGGCATAGTATCGACCCGTTGTGCTCACTTGGGGAGTGAATCACCAGACGGAAGATCTTCCTCTCTGTCTCTCCTCTCTGTATATCCGCCTTTCCAATGAAAAAATAATAAAAATAAATCTTTAAAAAAAAACACATCTATGAAGTTTAAAAAATGGAAAGTTTGACTTTGTCAAAATTAAGAATTTCAGCTATTTGAGCAACACTTGAAAAGACAAAGTGCAAAAGTGTTTAAATCACAAATCTTTTAAAGGACTGTCTAGGATATATTAAAAAAAAAAACCTGTAAAACTTAACAGTAAGGAAACAAAGTTTAAAAATGGGAAAGTAAAACAGTCACTTCTCCAAAAGAAAATAGCATAGTGCTATAAATCATCTGGGGAAAAAAGTCAAGAAAAATTAATTTTGTTGCAAAAAAATTGCAATTCATGCCTAGTTTTTCATAATGTACATTTCCATGAACTTTTAAAGACTCTCAACATGGATTTAAAAATGTTTACATCATAAAGTTATCTTTTAATTACAACTTTCCTTGCACATTTTGAAGTATCTTCATATGTTCATGACAGATAGCCACATAAAAAGAGGTCCACATTATTAGTCAATATGGAAATGCAAATTAAAACCACAATGAAATACCACATTCATTAGAATGACTAAGCTCAATACAACTGAAACAAGATATAGAGCAACAAGAGATCGCATGTATGTGCTATTACAAATCAAAATGGAAGTTCTTAACAGTTTGGAAGTTCTTTATGAATTTAACAATATAGTTATACTAGGACTCAGTAATCTTACTACTGATTTTCTAATCTTTTTTGTTTTTAGTTTATTTTATTATTTTATGATATGGTTCCATAGGCTCTTGGATTTCCCCTCCCCATCCCCAAATTCTCTTCCTCCAACTAATTTCCCCTACATTATTGTTATAATAGTATTGTGCTTCATAAACAGAGGAAAAAAGATCTCAGTCACGTAAAAACTTATATATATATGTTGTAAACATTTTTAATAAGCAATTGTTTGTAGCAGCTTTATGCATAATTACCAAAAACGATAAAGAACCCAGGTGTCCTTCAGCCCATGAATGGATAAACTGTGGAACATTTATTTTAAGGAATATTATTTAGCAATTGAAAGAGAATTTTCCTGATATACACAAAAACATGGAAGAATCTCAAATGCATTAAGTGAAAAAGGTTGGATTTAAAGGTGAAATAATGCATGACTTCATTTGTATGATATTCTAGAAAAGCCAAAACTATAGGGAGTAGGAACATATCAGTTGGTTGCCAGGAGTTGAAGCTGTTAGCTACAAAGTGATGGGAAGGGATTTGTTGGAATTACAGCACTACTCTCTAGGCTGTGTTGTTGATTCATTGTTGATGTTTATTAGAGTTTGCTAAACTGTACATGAAAAGGGTGGGTCATATTATATGCAAATTATGTCTTAATTTTTGAAAATTGGGAAAAATAGCAATGGAACTTGTACAAATACATTTCTTCAATTTTAAGACCAGAAAAAATTAGTGCTAGGTTTCTGTTTGTTCTTTTTCTCTTTCAGCTGCTTTTATTTTTCTAAATGTTTGAAATCTAAGTGATCTTAAATCACCTATTAAAACCTTGCAGTTACCTAGGCTTACCTAGTTGTTTAATAATAAAATGTTCCTTCTTGTATAGGAATCTATGCTGGTTAAATATACACATAGTTTGATATTTCTCTGTAGTCTAATGTGTTATAAATCAGAGTAACAAGCACTGTTTACTCTTAGGAAATTGGCCCTGATGGAGATAGTTGTGCTGTGTGTATTGAACTGTATAAACCAAATGATTTGGTGCGCATCTTAACCTGCAAGTAAGTCCATTTTCCTTTATATCATTAATAAGCTGACCCACAAAAAATGGTTGTAATGAGGAAAGCTATTTTAAATGTTTCCAAACTGAAAGAAAAGTATTTTAACTTATTTCCACATAAAGAGATTTTTAATAACAGTGAACTTGCTGTAAGTCTGTTATTTTGTTGCCATAATCAGGAACAATTTAATCCAAATTTATTCCATAGAAAAAGGTGAACCTACTCAACAAGTCAGTTTATACACATAAATACACACACATACACACAAGAGAGAGACACACACAAAGAATATATATGTGGTGTGTGTTCATGCATGTATAAATTGGCCTGTGTAGATTTAAGAGCACTTCAGATAGTTTGTAGAAAGAGTTAAATGATGTTTGTTTTGGTTTCAAAAACTCGTATACTTACATCTATACATAATGCTCTTATATACAGTTGTAATAGTACTAGATTATTTCATTTTAAAATCATTTTAAGAATCCCATTGGGGGTAAAATCATTTTATGTGCATTTATTTGGAAGTCTACTATTTAGGGTTTTATGTTATTATGCTTTTGCTTTCAACACTTGTAACATTCTTCTTTAAGTTAATAGCAATGCTTTTGGAATATATCAATTTACTGAAGCATCAGTACTGTGTAAACTCTGTACTGTATTATACTGTGCTAATAGGGGTTATTTACTATAACATTATACACTTAGAGAATGACACGATTTGAAATATTGTACAGTTTTAGTTCAGGTAATATCGTAACCACTTCTAAGTAATAAGTAATAAATCTGTGTGTGTGGGGGGGAGGATAAAGCTAGAGTAATGAAGCTTTTCATGTCTAAAGTACTATTTCATGAAGTTTCCAAATTTTGTTTCTTTGATGTGTTAATAGTGTATTTCAAAGGAAAGAAAGACACAGACTAAGCAAAGCTACATAGTATTAATCTGTTCATATACATTAGGCATAACATTTTTACTATTTGGCAACCGATAACTAAATTTTGCTTTTTTTATTCTTTCATTAGCCATATTTTCCATAAAACATGTGTTGACCCATGGCTGTTAGAACACAGGACTTGTCCTATGTGCAAATGTGACATACTGAAAGCTTTGGGAATTGAGGTAAACATTGCTACATTATTTATACGGGAGGGGCTAGAAAGGTGTGTTATTCATGTACATGGGCTTTGAGAATAGTGTCTTTTTTTCTAACCTATGTAATATGCTAGGATTACAATTTATACTTAAAATGGGGCATGTTTACATCAGACAGTGAGATGTCATATCCTAAATAATCTCCATTTTCCTTCCTCCTCTGCTCTCAAATGTATGTACTGTTACATCAGGGTTTGAAGTCAAGACCATAGAAATTACCAACTTGGACATTCCCCCTGCTTTCCTCTTTCTTAAATTTGTATAGTAGCCAACTTATAATTAAACGAACATGTATAATTTGTGCAAGGATAATAAATTCCCATTATATCTGAGAAATTTAAAAGACCAATTTTCAAGGTAAAAGAGAAAGTCGAGGTCAACGAAGTCTTCTTGATTTGATGAGACACATAGATTCCAGTGATCCTCAATTCTCCTAGGGAATGGCATAGCATAAATATCTTTGAGTGCCTGTCTTGTACAAGACATTCTGTTATAAAGCACAGGGATGGTGTCAGATGTAAGGGCATTCTTCCTTTAACATCTCTCACAGCATTTGGTTCAGCTACTTGCTTTAACTGCTCTGGCTGTGGCCAGCGTAAGATTTTGGGGGGATCCTGGAAAGGGATTATGGGCTTAAAAAGCTTGAGAAATGTTGCTCTAATGAGGCACCTATGAAGAAAGTTTTCAAAGCTATATTAAAGAGAAGCTTATCCTTTGTTTTAATTTGTTGAAATGCTTTCCAAAGGTGGATGTTGAAGATGGATCGGTGTCTTTACAAGTCCCTGTATCCAATGAAACATCCAATAGCGCCTCCCCCCATGAAGAGGATAATCGCAGTGAAACTGCGTCGTCTGGATACGCTTCCGTACAGGGAGCTGATGAACCACCGCTGGAGGAGCATGTACAATCTGCAAGTAAGCACCATGCTGAGGGTCAGAGAAGGCCCCAGTGAGGCTCCTTCGATAAGCATGCTGGCTGTAAGATCGCTTCTGCTGCTGAGTGTTCATCATTCATGAATACATCTCAGATTGTTGCTTCTGAAAATAACCCAGTGAAGCATGCACCCCTACTCTAACTTACTTTACCCGTACTCAAATAATACCTACAATAATAACCAAAGCACCGCAGGAATGGGGAGTATACATGAAAGATTTATTGCAAAGCTTCTCTCTAATGCCCTTAAATACTGACTTAATATTAGAAGGGCTACAGAAGAACTTTAAATTTTATAAACCATTATGTATTACAGATCAGTGATTGATTCTTATTTTAAGATAACAGAATATTCAATAAACAATTTAGTTTACAGAAGCTTGATTCACTCCCAGCCTCACAGGAGCCTTTTACAGCTAGGAAATGGTGTTTAAAAATAGTATGTGCTGCCACCTGTTGACAATTTGTCATGAAATCAACAGATCTTTAGAAACTAAAATTATATTATTTCCAAGTGAATTACTATTGCAACTTAGGGATTTTATACCTGTGGAGAGAATTTTATTGTTTTTTTCCCGATAAAGAGAAAACCCTGAAAAAAATTACTTTCCCAACCTTTTCAACCTCGGCATTTTTAATGCTTTCTATTGGTTTTAAAGCTCCACCCCACCTGACCAATCCTCACATTGAGATAATGCTATTCTAATAGAAGAGTAGAAGAAGAAAAAACTGAGACTGAATTGTGAAAATTTCTGCACCCTATGACACAGAACTTTGTCCTCTAGGCTTATCAGTGTTATAGATATTAATTTTGCAAATGTCACAATGAACACTACTGTGCCAAAGGAAGCCTTGTTTTTCTTGTAGTATGTTTAGATGCTTCCTTGAATATAAAGCAGTTGATTTTTTTCAAGGATTTCTTTCTTTTTATTGGGAAGGCTGATCAGATTTACAGAGAGGAGATACAGAGAGAAAAACCTTCCATCCACTGGTTTACTCCCCAAATAGCTGTAATGGCTGGAGCTAGCTGATCTGAAGCCAGGAGCTAGGAGGTTCCTTTGGATCCCCCACATGGGTATATGTTCCAAGGCTTTGAACCATTCTCTACTGCTTTCCCAAGCCATAAACAGGGAGCTGGATGGGAAGTGGAGCAGCTGGGACATGAACCGGTGCCCATATGGGATTCTTACGCTTGCAAGTTGAAGATTTAGCCCTTGAGTTACTATGCCAGGCCCAAAATTTTAATATTATATGGATATACTACCCATAATAGAAAATAATTGTCTACTTTTTCCAGATGATGTGTTTCTTTAATTATGTGGTAATAGAAGTCAGTGAAGGTAATGGAGAGCGTATACCATAATTCAATTTGTTTCTAGGTCTTTGAAAAATTCCAACCTACTTTTTTGGTGTTCTGTCCTTGTGGGCAGAGGTTACCTTGGTGGACAAAAATGCAGAAAAGATTTTGCAGAGAATTTGAAAAACTAATGACGCCATGTTCATTTTTTTTGTATCCGTTATCTGGGTGAACACCTGCCCAGGTGCCACAAACCAGAAAACAGGAAGACCCTAAATTCTTCCCTATCCTCCTTCCTATTAATTCTCAGCTCCATCCCCTAATTTCCAACCTTAATTGCACAGCCATGGTTTGAACTACCAGCATTCTGTCTATCCATGTCTTTCAACACTTGCCCTATCCAAGTAGATTGGAAAGAACCAATCTAATTCCCATTTCTCCTTTAAGACTCAGTGCTTTTGAGAAGCCTCTCTTGACTCATGTGTATGTGGGCTTCCTGTTTCCCCAGAAAAATGACCATTGCATGTGTTGCACTGAATTATATTAAAACGTATTACAGGTCCTATGGGCAGAGAGTGTCTTGTCACAATTATCTCCTCAGCCTCTAGCACAGCTTTGCTTTATTCTAGACACTCTGATTTGAATAAGTGACCCCTAAGAAGATATATTATTTTGTCTATGATTACACATTACCAGTGTCTGGCACTTTAACATTAGCCCTGATTCTTATGGCAACAGTTGATTTTCATACCCTTGTTGACACACGATCAGTTGATGTCTGTTTCACATTATCAGAGCCAAGTTCATGTATACCACTGATTGTCAAACATAAGCACCCATAGAGGCACCTGAGAGTTTGGGGGAACTCAAAACCCTGAGAGTTTGAGGCCACTCAGAGTGTTGGAGTCAGTTGGTCTGGTAGGTTTGGTTTCTAATGTGATCTTGGGTAATGCTGATGTAGCAGCCACACTTTGAAAACCATTGAATTGGGGGTCCTCATGGTCAACAGTGGCTGCTCATTAGAATCACTCTGGCTTCAGAAATGCTTAAATCTCACTTCTGAAGTCAGACCATACAGCAGAGCAGTTAAATCAGAATCAGGAGAGAGGCTCAGGAACAGGTTTTACTTTTACACTCTAGTTTTGAAATAATTTCAGAATGAAAACATTTCAAAAACAGCTCAAAGAATGCCAATATACTTCATTCAGGTTCTGCAAATGTACCATATACAATTACCAAAAACAAGCAAATTGATAAAATGCTACTAACTAAACTCTAAACATTACTCAAACTCACAGATAACCTACTAATATCTTTTTTTTCTGTCCAACAATCTCATATTTCTTCCTCTTTCTGTTTTAAAAGATTTATTTGAGAGAGAGAATTGACCTTCTATCTGTAGGTTCACTCCCCAAATGACCGCTATGGCTAGGGATGGGCCAGGCCAAAGCCTGGATCCTGGAACTCCATGCGGGTCTCCTAAAGGGGTAGCAGGGATCCAAGCACTTGGACAATCTTCTGGTGCTTTCCCAGTTGCATTATTATGGAGTAGGATCAGAAATAGAGCATACGGGACTTGAGCCAGAATTCTAATACAGGATGCCAGAATTACAGGAAGCTGCTTAACCAGCTCTGATACACAGTTATCCCCTTATATTACATTTAACTGTCATGTCCTCTTAGTCTCCAGTCTGTGACAGTGCCTGGGCCTTTCTTTTCCTTTTTCTTTTCTTTTTTTTTCTTTTGGAGGAGGGGACTTTGTTTTTCAAAACCTTGACCCATCTTAAGATTAGTGTCCAGTTATTTTGTAGCATGTCTCTCAGTTTAGGTTTTTCTGCTGTTCTTCAGTTATTAAATTAATTGTCCATTTCTGGCAAGAATACACTTCCCAGTGCTCTCTATTATATCATGAAACACATGATGTCTTTGTCTTACTACTGATCATTTTAATTTTGTTCACTTGGATAAGGTGATGTCTTTCAGGGTTGTCACGTTAAGCAGGGGTATGGAATGACTAAGTCCATAGGCCATAGCATAAATAATTTGATTTATTAAAAGAACAGAAATGAATGGAATTACAGAATATGATAGAATTAGAAAAGACATATTTCTTGTAAGTGAACATTGAAATTTGTCTTGCAAGGAGAGAGAAGTGAAATTACCCTAAAATTGCTGTTTCTTTTTGAAGATGAAAACCTACAGCTGGTAAACCATGAAGCAAATTCTGTGGCAGTGGATGTCGTCCCTCATGTTGATAATCCAACCTTTGAAGAAGATGAAACTCCTGATCAAGAGACTGCTGTTCGAGAAATTAAATCGTAAAATCTGTGTCAATAGAAAACTTGAAACTTTAGTAATAACAGAACTGCCAATCAGGGCCTAGTTTACTATTAATGAACTGGATAAAGTTAATAAAATATGGATGATACTGAAAGTGCTGAGATGACTAATATCATACTATAGATAACAGGCTTAAAATATTTAACCTATTAACTTTTTTCCACAAACTCATTATAATGTTTTTCATAGGCAAGTTTCCTCTCAATAGTGATAGCAACGTTTTTAAACATTCAAAACTCTCTTCAAGTAGTCTTGTTTTTCATTTATGACAATTTTCTTAAAAAGAAACATGTTGCTTTGAAAATGTGAAGTAGTTGTAATCATTTTATTTTATGATAGTATCTTAATTAAAAATTATACTACTTTAGCTTGGGCTATATGTGTCAGGGTTTTTTCTCCAGGTGCTTATATTTATCTGGAATTGTAAAAAGCAATGCAAACTTAAGCTAGTATTTCATGAGATGTCTATTTAAACTACATTCAGTTGATAGAACAAGATTAAAGCAAACCATTTTATCTTTTTCTTGTTTTTAAAATTAGGCTTAATGTAAATCAAGTAAGTGTTGAGCATAGCGTATCAAGAGTATGGACTGAATCGATTGGAACATTAATGATATCAATTTGATACAGGATTTTAGACAAAAGGTTCCTTACAGAAATATTGTATAACTATTTCTTAATTATGGAATTTTCAGATACATAGGATATAACTTACAATACCATTTGAAAATGGTGATTACTGAGTCACACGAAACTTGATCATCCATCTTTGTGCATGAATTAGTCTACAGAAAATTTTCTCTAATTATCAGTTTGTTAAAACATGTTTTCCAAACAATGTTGACTTTGAAAATTGAGTTTACATTTCTCCTAAATGGGTTGAAATGACATTAGACAAAATTCTGTCCATGCAGGTATAAAGATAGTAAATGCATTTTCTTGGTGTTTGAAAAAGAATTGACAGGGTTGGGGAAAGGGGAGAGAATTCCAGGTGCCTTAATAAAAAGTTTGAAGCTTCATCCACCAAAGTTAAATAGAACTGTTTTAAAAATGCACTTTATTTGTATTCTGCGAGGCTTAACTTTTATTTAGAGGTTTTTTTTCCAATGCAAATTTCAGCAGAATTTAGGCAAATCCAGAACAGACATGTATTTTTGTTTGCTGAATGTAGAACGAATGAAATCATTGCATTCTTGTACACTGATTTGAAATGCTGTAAATATGTCCGATTTGTATTGATTCTCTTTAAATATAAAATGTAAATAAAATATTCCAATAAAAAATTTTTGTTTGCTGTTGAATTTCACTGTTATAGCAACTTTTCATGTACTAGACTAGTTTGAAAAATTCATGGAAAGTAGAATTTAAAAAATTTATTTAGGTGCAAAACATTTTGAAATTCATGCATAGTATTTTTGTAAGATGCATCACTATCAACTTTTCAACACCTTTCATGTGCTTGGATATCACAATGTTTTGTGCCAAAATAGACTTCTCTTTCAGTTCCATTTTTTCATGATCTTTTGAAATGTCGTCCTAAATATATGCCTGGATTGGGCAGGGGAACGGACAAGAAGAGTTGAATGTAAATGGTCATTAATATATTTGGTCAGTAAAAACAAAAACTTCAGTATGGTATACATTGTCACATTTCATGGCATAGAGAGGAAATACTGCCATTATAATATCACTAAACTTAACATGAATTATTTTTAAATGTGAACAAGGCAAATAATGAGGTTGACCAGTAGTTATATAAATTTCAAAAAAATTTATTCTAGCCTATGTTCATCTTGTTCATGACATAAGAATGTTTTATTACTTTAATACTTTCTCCCAACATTGTTTTTTGGCAGTATGATTGGAATGCTGTTGATAAGTGCCTCTCACCAAACATATTAGGAATAATGGAATACACAATGTATTAGGAATACACAGATGTTTGGAACAACCTAGAATCATGATTATGAAGCCAAATGTAGGAATACACAGATGTTTGGAACAACCTAGAATCATGATTATGAAGCCAAATGTACAATATGCTGTGAGTGTGTGAATTAGATCTTATATTCTTAGAGTTAACATCATCTCAAGTTCTGTGGTGATTCTTTGTAGGGAGTAGTTTTAAAAATTTTGACTTTATTAAAAATGGATATAGAGGAAGATATCATTCATTGACTGGTTCATTTTCCAAAAGCCCACAATGGCCAAGACCAGGACAAAGCCAGGAGTCGGGAACACAATCCAGGTCTCCCTAGTTTATAAAACTATTATTAGGGCCATTGTCATGGCCCAGCAAGTTAAACGTCTACCTGGGATGCTGGCATCCCATAGACCCTGCTCATCTGCTTCCAATTGAGCTCCATGCTAATACCCCTAGGAAATGAGCTGAACATGGCCCAAGTGCTTGGGCCCCTGCCACCCACGTGGGAGACTCGGATGGAGTTCCTAACTCATGGCCCCAGCCTGGCCCAGCTCCAACTGTTGTGGCCATATGGGGAGTGAACCAGCAGAGAGGACACACACACATATACGCTCAGAGATCTTCCGATTGCATCCCCCATGTGAGTGCAGGGTTCCAAGGCTTTGGACTGTTCTCTACTGCTTTCCTGGTCCACAAACAGGGAGCTGAATGGGAAGTGGAGCAGCTAGGACATGAATGAGCTACTCTATAAGATGCTGTCGCCACAGGCAGAAGGCTAACCTACTATGCAAAGGTGCTGGCCCTGAATTTGTTTGATATTTTTAATACACCAAAGTTTTCATTACTGCATGAGACTTGAAAGAAATTTAGCAAATAATGGGAACTCTAATCTCCAGAAATAAATGATTGTTCTCTACCATCAAAGCTCATTCAGTGAAAAGTTTGGGAAACACCACCCACTGGTTCTCAGCCTTTTCCTATATAAGCACAACCTCATCAACATAAGACATTCTGAGGCATACCTAGATCTTGAGAAGCAAGAGAATTGTCTAGGTTGGCATATATGGTTAGTGCAATTTTCCCTTCTAGCTATAATTCAAACTGATAGCCCATTTCTCAAACACTGTCTTAGAAAATGTAATAAGCCTGCCCTGACAATGTTTTTCAAGAAGCCATCCCACCATCTAAAAGGCCTGTTTTCCAAAAGATGCCTATGTGGTTCTTAATGGAAATGTGATTCATTACCCCAATTTTTTGTACTTTGATTTTCCAATATCTAATTTGCTTCAAATCAGTTCATCTAAAACTTTAATGAGCCTACAAATTACCTTAGGAGCTTATTATGACACACATTCTGATCTAGTAGGTATGGTATGTGGTGGTCCAGTGCTTCTCAGTGTCCAGTAAGATCCTGGTGATGCAGATGTTTCTGGCGCAGTCTCCACACTCTGGGTAGCAAAGCTTTAAACAGTTCTCTTGTAGCAGTGTTCCGTACATTTTGAACCTTACTGCCTCTTCTCCTGTGGCAGATTGCATAGAGGCACAAACTCAGCTGGTGAAATTTTTCTGAAATAAGAAACCAATAAAATCCTGAGTGACAGCCTTTCCATAGCAGAGTTTAGTACTACTATTTGGGGCTTCATAATATCTTTTTACACAGGTGTTTTAGGTTGTGATTTAAAGGGCTGAGTCAACTGGAAAGGTGAGGTCTGGGTACATGAAATACTATGTTTGCATATCCTATTGGTTCCACAAGTATGTGACTTCTATAAGTTAGAAAGCATAGATAGGAGCAGGCAGATGAGCTGCGAAGCTGTTAGAATAGCATAGCAAGAAATAGTGATGCGAGGCTAATTTAAAGCCATAACAGGAAAATAGTATAGGATGAACTAGCAAAACAGGAAAACTATGAATGAGATGTGCCGTGTGTATTATGATGAGGGGGGAGACTGATGGAGCTTGGAGAATAGGGATGATGTGAAAAGTCTGATATCTTAGCCTAAAAGTAAGCTTCTGAGCTAAAGAAACCCAGTAGGAGAAACTAATCTGCTAAGAAGTACATTGCAGAAATAACTGGCTTTGACATGTTCTATTTGAGGTACTTTATACCATATTAATAAAGAGTACAGTATCATAGTTGGCAGAAGGACAAATTTAGTTCCAAATCCCAGTTCTGCCATCCATTTAGCTGTGTGATCTTAGGCTAGTTATTTAATTCCATTTTATGAGATCTATTTTTATTTGCAAAGCAGAGTTAGAGAAGATACACACACACACACACACACACACACACACACACACACTCAGAGAGAGAGAGAGAGAATGAATATCTTCTATAGCCAGAACTGGGCTGATCTGAAACCAGTATCCAGGAACTTCTTCCAGGTCTCCCATGTGGGTGCAGAGGTCCAAGGAGTTGAGCCATGTTCCACTGCTTTCCCAGGTGCATTAGCATGGAACTGGATTCCAAGTGGGATAGCTGGGATTTGACCAGCTGGCCATATGGGAATGCTGGCACTGCAGGCAGTGACTTGATTAGCTATCCCACAGGGTTGGTCCACATGAGACTGCCCCTTTTGTCATTCCATCAGGGCCCTAACCCTAACTACTTATTATCTGTCACATTTTCTGGATAGCCCCTGCCACAATTTAGCCTTTAAGGATGTTGGACAAGATTGCGTTTTCATGAGGAAGGAAACACATAAGGAACGGAACGGGATAAAGCAAGGAGGAATGCTCATATCTCTCTACATTGGCTGTTTGCTCATCTATGGTTAGGAAGATGAGGAATCTTCCTTAGTTCACATCCAAATTGGGATGGCTTTCCCCATAAATACTTCACAGTCTGGACTCTGGAGGAGCTGGCTTTTTTATCCTTTCTTTAAAGCTGTCTTGGGGTTAATCATTTTCTTTTAGTAAAGAAGAACCAAAGATTTCCCCTTTTCTCACCTGCTAGAAAAATCCCTGCTTGTAGCACACGTTGGTCTCACTAGAAATGACCCACATCTTGGAAGAGTTAAGCCCAAGACACACCTTCAGAACAGAATTCCTTGACTCCAAGATTTGGCATTTGGGTGTGCCCCATCCCTTTTTCTTCTATGTGTTATTTATTTATAGCCATATGGTCCATAGGCTTAGTCTCAAAATTGCTTACCAAGTGTCCATTCTCTGTATGTTGCCATCCAATGCCTTCCTTCTTTTGAACTTGAGTTTTAATTTCAGTGCACTCTCACTTACTGCAAGAAATAAAAGTAGCAATCACTTAGTTTCTTACCACACCGTCACACAAATTACTGACCTCATCTGAACCTGGTGTTTAAGCAGTTGTGTACATTTGCAATATACATAGGGCTGAAGGTTATGCTGAAAGAATTTTTATTTCCCTTAAGACTTCAGGGAATCATGAGCTTCTTCCGGGTCTGAGATGTATATACAGAGTCCAAAGGCATTGAGCCATCCTCCACTGTCTTCCCAGACCATAAGCAGGGAGCTGGATCAG